CACCTCCTCGAGGCTCTGGCTGCAGGGATGATGAGCGGCAGCGGACCTGTGTGCCTGTGAAGGACAAGGGAGGGGCACGGGGGTCCGAGATCTGCAGGTACAACCTGGTCTGGGGGAGGCAGTCAGGCCTCTGCAGGTACAACCTGGTCTGGGGGAGGCAGTCAGGCCTCTGCAGGTACAACCTGGTCTGGGGAGGCAGTCAGGCCTCTGCAGCTACAACCTGGTCTGGGGAGGCAGTCAGGCCTCTGCAGGTACAACCTGGTCTGGGGAGGCAGTCAGGCCTCTGGAGAAGTGACATTGAAGCTGAGAGCTGGAATGGGATTTTCCAGGCAGAGGCAGGAAGTCAGGTGAGGAGGGAAACAGTCCAGCACTTAGACACGTGTGCTGGTGGTTTCATTTCTGATCCCGGGGAGGGTTAAGGATGCCTCAGTCCTTCCTGGCCTCATGCTCTGCCTCTACTGGGGGCACAGGGCTCGGGGTGCGGATTGGTGATGCCCTTGATGGGCAGTCAGACACCCAGGGTGACTGTGAGACCGAAGGCTTCGCATAGACACCCTCCTCCTGTTGCAGGTATGAGAAGATGATCAGCGGCATGTACCTGGGTGAAATTGTTCGCAACATCTTGCTTGACTTCACCAAGAAGGGATTCCTCTTCCGAGGGAAGATCTCTGAGCCACTGAAGACTCAGGGCATCTTTCAGACCAAGTATCTCTCTCAGATTGAGAGGTGAGTGGGGACGGGCTTTCCTGAAGGGCCTGTTCGAGGTCGACCTGGCCACGGGGTTACCAGGCGCCATTTGTGAGATTTCTTTTCTCCTGCCATTTTATTATAAGTGACTTTCCTTTTATTTGTCCTTTATGTTGGGGCATGATATTTGTTTGAAATTATGTGTGTAAATAGGTTATATGGACTCAATTTCAGGATAGTGAAGATGCATTACAGATATCTGTGTTGCAGGGACGTTGAGTCCTATAGAGCCCAGCACCACTGGTCCAGCCCCACCCTCATGCTATCTGAATGGCAGCTGGGATCGAATAGCTTGCCCACCCCGTGTGCATGCCCCACAGCAAGCTGCCTCTGCCTTCCTCCCATTTTTCTCATATAAGCATTTCATCTCTGCTTTGCCATCTTTCATGGTGAGAGAAGGTGAAAGTGGTCTGCAAAAGCCAAAAAACAAAACAAAACAGGTGTGCAAAAACTACCTGTTTTTACAGTGGTCACAATAGCAACTCTAGTATTGGCTCCGCCGGGGCCTGCTCACTGCTTTCCCCCACGACTGCATAGCGGGGGAGGAAACTTTCCCCTACCCTCCTCGGTTCTCTTTGCTTGTCTAATAATTAAATCTACATGACACAGATAAACAAGACAACATAAACTTCACTACGTATGTATGAATGGGAACTCCACATACATGAGAAGGTCAGAAGCAAAAAGTTACAATGAGGTATATGAGAAATCATAAAGAAAAAATTGCCAAATTTCACTAATAGCTTCTATAAGTTAAAAAAAATCAGTATTCAAACTTATAAGGCAAACAACAAACATTTGAACAAAGGAAACCATTTGCATTGTATGTGATAAGATGCAGAGTGTGGCACCGTTAACAAGAGCTCGATCAGGTCTGGTCTTGAGATCTGCTCTGTCCCCTGGCTGTGGGCTCTGAGTGAGTTACTCAGTTTCTCCCAGGCTGTTTCCTCATCTCTAAAATGGGAATGATGTTACATGTATTGGTTGGTCTGTATGAAGAGGAAACGTGGTAATGTATGTAAAGCACCTGTCACACAGTAAGTCTTCACACAGGGCTGGCTGCTCTTATCACTGTCATTGTCATCATCATCTCTTTCAATTTAATAAGAATGAGACAAATATCCCAGGAGAGTAAGTCTTGACATAATAGTTAGTTCATATGGCCAATAAACAAATGAAAAAAAATAAAAAAGGTCACCCTCACTAATAGAGAAGAAGGCAAATGAAACCACAGTGTGATGCCATTCTTACCAAATTGTCAGATGTTTTAAAAAGTGATCCTTTCCGTGGGGGACAAGGACAGGCAAGTACTGTGCGGCAGAGGGAGTAAAGTGATGCAACTTTCTGAAAGGCACTTGGCCATATATAGCAAAGATTTATAAATAGGAAACGTCATTAGAATGTTACTTCCATCCTGGCTGGTGGTTCAGTGGTTAGAGCGTCGGCCCATGCACCAAAAGGTCTCAGGTTTGATTCTTAGTCAGGGGCATGTGCTGCCTGGCTTGCAGATTCTATCCCTGGTCCCTGGGGTGCGTGCTGAAGGCATCCAATCGATGTGTCTCTCTCACATAGATATTTCTCTCTCTGTCTCCCACCCTCCCTCCCCCTCTCTCTAAAAAAATCAATGGAAAAAATATCCTTGGGTGAGGATTAACAGACAAACAAAAAGTATGCTACTTCATAATAGCAGAAAATTAGAAAATTATAAAAAACTTAAATTTCTCTAAACTGGCTAAATAAGTTTGGTGTATCCCAGAATGGAATGCTTAGGTAAGAAGGTGGGAAATTGCTCAGATGTGTGAAGTAGGAAAAAAGCAATAAAGAAAAACACATGTAAAGGACAAGCCTGTGGTGCATAAGAACAAAGACATTGTTTAAAGATAATTCAGAAAAAAATAGGTTGGGAATGTTCATAGCATTTCCCCCAGTGTTGGGATTGTGGATGGCTTTCATTTTCCAATATTTATTTCTCTAGATTTGCCAGATTTTCTACAATTTAACAGGTAGTACTTTGGGGGAATCATTTAAAAATTTATAAATAAATGTTACTTAGATGGGGAAAAGCCCCCATGACCTATTCACGGGTAAGTACAGTGAGTGGGCTCCCGGGCTGCTCTCGTGGGTCCTGCTTCATGCAGCCTCCTGCTCTTGTTCCCACAGTGACCGCTTGGCGCTGCTCCAGGTCCGGGCCATCCTGCAGCAGCTGGGCCTGAACAGCACCTGCGACGACAGTATCCTCGTCAAGACCGTGTGCGGGGTGGTGTCCAGGAGGGCCGCGCAGCTGTGTGGTGCAGGCATGGCTGCCGTGGTGGATAAGATCCGAGAAAACAGAGGGCTGGACCATCTCGACGTGACCGTGGGGGTGGATGGAACTCTCTACAAGCTTCATCCGCAGTGAGTGGGGCTTCCGGTTGGGATGGGCAGAGCTCCCTGGGCTGCGAGGTCCTTTGATGGTTATGGGGCATCGGGATGTGAGTCCCACCAGGAAAATGCCTCACCTGACGGCTGTGCGCTCAGGGACTGGGGCTGAGCTGGGATGAGGTCGTGGACTGCTCTGAAGTTTAACCGAGAGGCAGATTAGCGCTTTACCTGGCCAGCTTACACCGGGGCCATGGCGTGTCCCTCTCCCCGCTCCTCCTGGGCCCATTTAGGTCGGGCGGAGTCCAGGTGGGGAGCAGGAAAGGAGGGAGAGAGGGGTGTGGGCCGCCCCATCAGCCTGGGTAGCTGCAGCCTGGCCAGGAGGCTGTTTGGTAAGTGGGGAGAGGGAGTGAAGGAAGGGGGAGGAGGGCTCATTGTCTTGTTCATCTGCTAAATCAGCTTGTCAGGAGACACAGGAGTCCTATTGGCTCTGGGCTTGTAGCAGCGAGGGGCTGGGGAGGAACTTCTTTCAGTCAAGTGCCCGACACCTCATCTGCTCTTTGTGCCAAGCGCGTCCCAAAACTTGGCTCTTGTGAATAGTGACCATATAATTTACTGTCTGAACTCTTGGATGCTTTTGTCAGCGAAGAGAGTGCTATTAATAATTACACTGGGACCATCCCAGCTACACCAGGCCATAATGTCACCCTACTTAACAGCAACGTTACCCAACTCATCATGGGCACTTCCTGCTTACCTCATGGCCATGGCTGGTGATGGACCCGTCTGTCTGGCTCCACCTTAATAGCCACCCTCTTCCTCACCTGAGGTAGCACCCAGGTGTGGTTTAGAGCTAGGCTTTGGAGCCATACACACCTGGATTTAATCCTGGCACCATCATTTGGAAGCCGTGTTCAGTTGCTCAGTCTTGCCAAGTCTCACCTTCCTCATGGGATAATGGCTGCTGGCAGGACTGGAAATTATGTCTATAAAGTGTAGGTAAATGGTAGGTGTTCAGCAAAGGGCAGTCCACGTGACCTCTGAGAGCCCCCATGTCCTGAGCATCCTCAGTCTGGTCTGTCTCATTTTCAACAAAAAATGCAAGAACCTCGAGTCACCTCTCATTTAGAGATTCTCCTTCACTAGCAGGCCTCCCCCTGTTGGCTTCTGGTGCTGGGCTGTAGCTGGTGATGGGCTGGGGGGTCCGAGGGCTGCAGCTGTGGGCAGGTGATTTCCTGCCCATGGAGGCCCTCGCACAGCTCTTGGTTTTTGGTCCTCTAGGAACCTCAAGGTGTGTCTTTGAGGACAGGCGTGTCTCAGTGTATTATTCATGCCCTGGCCCTTGTATGCTGTACAGGGTAGTTTGGTTTTGATTCTCAGCTGAGAATTGTAATCATAGGATTGATTGTAAATCCACCTGCCATTCTCAATAAGCCCCAGCTGCTGCTAAGCAGCCCCTCCTGTCTTGTTTGCCCTCCTTATTATTAGAGTCCTTTAACATCTTCAGGTGGATCCAGCGGCTCTTTTCATCTTATCCTACCTACCCTTTTCTTCTCTTTTTTAGCTTCTCCAGAATCATGCACCAAACCGTGAAGGAACTGTCACCAAAGTGTAACGTGTCCTTCCTCCTGTCCGAAGATGGCAGTGGCAAGGGAGCTGCCCTCATCACGGCAGTGGGCGTCCGGCTCCGGGATGAACGGGGCAGCTAAGAGCCCCGGACCCCAGCCTGCTGCCCTTCCAACACTTACTTCTCTCTCCAAGCAGCGACCCCCCCGAATCTCCCAGCGAGTGGAGCTGGGAGACGCCAGCACCAGAGCCCGCCACTGCCACAGCGGGAGGAGAGCAAACGCCGACCACTGGCGCCTAACGTAGGGTACAAAATCGAGTGTGTGCTGTTGATAATACCTCTCACCTCCGGGCCCTCCTCACCTCCCTGCCACTCTGCATGAGTTGATTTCACCCTGGCCGTCTGTTCCCCACGTGTGAAGTGTCGTGGTGTCCATTCTAATTTATGCATTCGTCCAACGTTATTTATTGGCCTGAGATGACAAGTCACACCATCCGACAGGCCTCATGGGCGTCTGCAGCCTGTCCTTGGGGACGAACCCCCGTGTGAAATGTATTATCACCAGCAGACACTGCCTGTGCTCCGCCCAGGGGCGCTCGCCGCCTCCTCCCGTCCCAGCACCCACTGCTGGCCTCCCAAGGTTCCCGTCCGGGCGTGTCCATGCCACTGGGTTGTGTGTCTGTGGACCTGGTCGTAGCCACGTTGTGACTGTCTTGCATTCTGTCTTGGGGGGGAGGTGCAAGGTCCTGTGGCAAAGTGTCTTGTCTCCTGTGTAAAAGGAACCAACAACAAAACAGTGCCCTCATTGGAATGTCCCTTCGCTTCTGTGAGCCATGTCGTATGACCTAGTAAACTTTGTACCAGTTCAAAGACCTGAGTGATGCTTGATGGCCGGGGACCGGGGAGGACATGGAGCGGCCAAAACCAAACCCTGGGGATTTTTGTGGCCGCCTGGTCAAGGGGGGAATTGAGGTGAAGATCGCGTGCTTTAGCCCCCGCCTTCCTCTGGACTCCTGTGGTCTCTCCCTGCTGCGTCAGGGCTAGCCTCTCCCCGGGTCTTCCAGCACCTGCTCCAGCCCCAGGGTCCTGTCCTGGGGAGAGGCTCCTGCAGCCCCCGTCCCAGGTAAAGGGGTGCCCTCTGTCCTCCTGCAGCCCCCGTCCCAGGTAAAGGGATGCCCTCTGTCCTCCTGCAGCCCCCGTCCCAGGTAAAGGGATGCCCTCTGTCCTCCTGCAGCCCCCGTCCCAGGTAAAGGGATGCCCTCTGTCCTCCTGCAGCCCCCGTCCCAGGTAAAGGGATGCCCTCTGTCCTCCTGCAGCCCCCGTCCCAGGTAAAGGGGTGCCCTCTGTCCTCCTGCAGCCCCCGTCCCAGGTAAAGGGATGCCCTCTGTCCTCCTGCAGCCCCCGTCCCAGGTAAAGGGATGCCCTCTGTCCTCCTGCAGCCCCCGTCCCAGGTAAAGGGATGCCCTCTGTCCTCCTGCAGCCCCCGTCCCAGGTAAAGGGATGCCCTCTGTCCTCCTGCAGCCTGGCCTCCTCACTTGCTGTGGGAACAAGGAAAAAAGTCCACTTGGCTTCCGGGGCTGTCTGGGTGTAATGAGAGGCCGGGCCACATCCGCCTCCCCTGCCACCCCAAGCAGATCTGCCTTCGGCACCTCTCTGCCAACTCTGACATCCAGAGGATGGCGGACCGAGGCCCAACTCTGACATGCTGAAGTCCTGCAGCAGCCTGGGCACAGGGTGGCTGCACTCTCCTCTCCCCCACCTGACATTAACCCCTTCCGCAGGAGCCTGGCCCTTAGCTGACCCTTGCGTCCCTACCCCTCCTCAGCCTTGAGGCCGCTGTTCCATTTTGGATCCTCCCACAGCCCGTCCCTTTGGAGGATCCCACATCAGTCCGCATTCTGGTGCCTGTGACGGAGGGCACGTGAGCCTCCCAAGCCATGGCTACAGCTCTGGGTGTCCCCCCCGGACGGGTGGCCCCCCCAGGACTGACCGCATGCTCCCTTGGTGTGGTGAGACCAGTCCCTTTATTGGGCAGTGCCGATGCCTGTGCACAGTGATCTTTGTGGAGAACACAACATTAATCTTGGTTCTTCTGCAGGGATCCTGCGGTGTAGAGGGCGAGTTGGCAAGCCGGGGGTGGGGCGGGTGCCTTTGGGCCAGGCCTGGAGCTGTCCGGGCGTCGGGACAGTTGGTGGTTTCTGGCTGCCACCTTCTTGCTGTGGAAGTGGGGGTGAGAGTTGTGTTGCTGATTGCAGGCGCCATTCTGTAAGATGGCCGGCATGCTAGTAACAAAGGCCATGGCTGCTGTCTATTAAGCGCTTAACCTGTGCTTGGCCTGGTAGTTTATAGGCACCACTTCCGCCATCCTCACCGCCACCGCCGCGGGGAGGCCGCCGCGGGGAGAGGAAGAGCCGAGGGTCAGAGTGACTTGTCTGAGGCAGCACAGCTGGGGCTCCCTTTGCCTCATTTTCTTCCCAGTTTTCAATTCCTTTGACTCTTTACCACCATCTCTACTGACCTGGATCTGAGTTCTTAGATGCTGAGCAGAGAGGCCTCGGATTGACTCACAGGTGATGCTTTGCAAAACAAGAACCTTCTGACCTTCTTTTCACCGGAGAAGAATCAGTGTCTTGTTGGGTGCTGCCCACAGGTGAGTTTTGTTTTGTTTACCCAACATTTATAAACATGTGAGCCAAATGCAGCAAGTCCGGAAGCCTCACACGTTTTGGATTTCTGGCTTCTCTGGATTTAGATCTGGCAACAATGAGCTCCCATTACCACATGGCAGCATTTGTCCAGAGCCGATCAGCTACTGTCCTCGTTGGATACCTATGTCCTCTCATTTGCCACAGTCCCCACTATTCCCTGTTACCCCAACACTGGAAACCAATGGCCTTTTATCATCATATTGGCAGTTCTCCTTTTATACTGGGTCCAATTTACAAATGATGTTGTATGCCCAGGAAGGCGTCTGAGCTTGCCCCTGGATTAGATGTGTTCGCTCAGACTGTCTTCTTTGGCTCCTATTGGATCCCCCGAAGCACTGAGAGGGAAGGCTAGGTCCCCTTAAAGTCAGCATCCGCTGTAGAGTTCCCAGACCCGTCTTGTTTTTCCATCCACGTATTGAAGGGTGAGGCATGGGCCAGATTTTCACATCTCGTCTCTTGACCTGCTGCTTCTCAGAGGGTGTCAGCCTCACCCTGCAGCCAGGCACAAGGCTTCAGGATTCAGAAGTCACCCCATCTGGGGGACCCCCAGCCTGCCCACTGGTAGCCTCAGATGGGGCCACATCCCCACTAATGAATAAAGTCTCTTTAGTGTGACACCTGTTGACCCTCCTGGAGAGAGAGGGCGTGTGATTCAGCTCCATCTTATCCTCCTCGGTTGGCGTGACCCATGGGCAGCAACGGAAAGCGATCCGGAATCCAGAGCGAAACCTGGAGGGATGGAGGGCAGCTGGAGCAGGGGGTGAGGGGACAGTGACAGGAGCTGTCGTGTGGCTTCCCCCGCCTCCAGGAGCCCAGCTCCCCTTGAGGAAAGTCACTGCCTCACTCCCAGGAGCTCCCACTGCTCAGGGGTCCTATCTTTAGGAGACACTGTCCTTAGTAGACTTGATTTTTTTGAAATAGCCAGGAGTAATCGGAAGCTAAGTCTAGTGATGGAAGTGGGTGACTGAGCCGAAGTACACCACTTGTTATAACCAACAGACAAAAAGAAACCAAGTATAAATTATATAGAAACAACAGGTTTTCTTGTTTGGCTTGTTCACGGACTTCTAAAGGAATGTTCATAGGAGTCTTAAAAAAATTGGGGCTTTGGCAATGTTGGGTGGAATAAGGGTGCTCTCCCAAGAAAACATACACTTGGAACTATGAAGTTTGGGTACGTTTGCATAAAAAATAACTCTCTCCTCGGCATCACTGAGATGTCACTAGAGATCCACATACAACTTAGGGATAGGAGGAAGCCGATCGGGAGTGGAGGGAATGGGCTGGCGTATAGCGAGCACTGGCCTGTCGGGGAGAAAGAGAAATAGCTGAGACCCTGCGTGACTGCCGAGAAGGGGAGAGAACTACTGACTGTTCCCAGGAACCACACGGTTCCATGGTCCAGAAGAGCAGGTCTGACTTTAGCTCCTTGCCTTGTGGCTCTACAAGACTCCACGGTGTGACCCAAAAATGCCTTTATTGTGGGTGTGGGGCCTCTGCCCCTCGCACCCACGCTCAGCACGTCCCCGCCTGAGCTAACCATCACCCTCCCCACACCCCTTCCTCATTGTCCTCCGCATCTCAGTTCCTGACAACTGACGACTCCATCCTTGTCCTTCCGGTTATTCAGGCCAAGAACCTGGGAGTCATCCTTGATCTCCTCTCGCATGCCACCTCCCCTCCATCCACTCTGTTGGCTTTGCCTTAGCAATATCCAGACTCACCACGTCTCACCCCAGTCTAAACGCACCGTCTCTCGCCTGGATTCCTGCACTAGCCTAACCATCGTCTCCCTCTTTCCCCTTGCCGCGCTGTGGTCCACTTCCGGCACAGCTGCCAGACTGATTCTTTTCAAAGGGACATCAGAGCGTGTCTCCTGGGCTCAGCCCCACAGGGCGCCCCAGGTCAGAGTACCAGCCAAGTCCTTCCCTTGGCCCCAAGGCCTTTGCCTTGGCTGTTCCCTCGGCCTAGAACTCTTCCCAGATGGTCCACTCGACCCTCAAGTCTTTGCTCAAAAGACTCTTCCAGAAGGCCTACCCTGACCACCCTGTGAAATTGTACCCCATGCCCTCTACCTCCCCCAGCCCTTCCTGTCCTCCCTCACCCAGCTCTTGTGTTTTCTCTTTTCCGTAGGACTTACCACCTCATGTCTCATGTACTCACTATGTCTGCTTGTTGTCTGGCCCCCTCACTAGAATGTCAGCTCCCGGAGGGAAGGAGCGTTGTTTCTGTTCACCGGTGTCTCCCAAGTGCCTGGAACAGTGCCAGGCACACAGCCCCTTGGTGGTCATAGTCTCCACAAAGGTCCCTGCCGGGAGCACCAGTGTCATCAAACACTGAATGACTCAGAACTTGTCTCAGGGGAGGTGGCATGCGAGAGGAGATCAAGGATGACTCCCAGGTTCTTGGCCTGAATAACCGGAAGGACAAGGATGGAGTCCCTTGGGGAAGCAGAGCCCTGGCGACTGTGTCCTCGGGTAGCAGACACTGCGTGCTGGTGGCCCCTCGAGTGACAGTCCCTGTCCCCAAGTTCTCCTGCAAGCTGCGTGCAAGAGAGATGTGTTGTGTGGGGATAGGATTACAGGTCTTGGAGAGACATGGATGCTGGCTCCACTGCTTGCTGTGTGAGTTTAGGAAAAAAGTCATCTTTTCTGAGACTCAGTTTCCTCATCTGTAAAATGGGAATGAACACCTCCCTCCCTCGATTATCTGCTTACCTTGCAGGAGGCAATTGAGGGTTCTGGCACCTGTTAAACACTCAAAACACTATAGTTTTCTCACGTCCTTCTGGCCCTCCCCAGGTGGGCAGGATGTCTGAGCAACAAAGACCCTAATGGCACGAGCGGCTTGGACACGTGGGCAGGGAGGTGACAAAAAGGCATGAGCCAAGAGGCCCAGGGCTAACCTTGCCCATATCACTCTCAGCTAAGGTCAGACTCGGTGTCCACCTCTCAGCTCCTCTGGCCTGACCCCACCTTCGGGGTTTCTGAGGCTGCATGGCCTGCTCTGCAAGCAGGGCTCCTGGGTGCTGGGGTTTCTGCCTGGCCCCGCTCCTCCCACCTCTCCAAGTGCCCAGAGCGAATGCCAGCCCGTCTCTGCGGCTCTGCTTCCCCAGCAGCACAGTGGGGGGAACCAGGTGGAGTCAGGGAGGACTGAGGCCGTGGCTCCATCCTCCCTGGCTGTCTCTGCCAAAGTCACATCCCAGCTGCCCCGAACGCCCCTCAGGGCAGGAAATGCACCGTGATCTTCCCAGGGAGCAGGCTGCCCCTCCGCCAGGCTTGGCTCTGGGTCTCCGATCGCATGCTCCCCACTGCTTGGTGCTCTCCTCGCCCAAGGACAGTCCTTGGTTCTTCTCATTGCAGGAGCTCTTAAAAGTGTCAGAGCAGCCCCGCCGGCATGGCTCAGTGGTTGAGCGCGACCTAGTCACGGTTTGATTCCTGGTCAGGGCACATGCCCAGGTTGTGGGCTCAATCCCCCGTGTGGGGTGTGCAGGAAGCAGCCAATCAATGATTCTCTCTCATCATTGATGTTTCTATCTCTCTTTCTCCCTCTCTCTACCTCTCTGAAATCAATAAAAATATTTTTTAAAAATGTCAGAACAGATGAAGTCTTTACTTGTCTCCTTCCTTCCTCTCTCTCTGTCTGTCCTTCTGCCTCTGCTTCTCCACCTCCCTCCATCTCTCGGTCCCTCCCTCTCCTTGTTCCAGATGTAACCTCAGAAGAGAGCAGGAGCAGGCACATGGTGAGAACAATGGGGCAAGGCTTTGGGGAGGAGGTGGGCTCACACCAGGAGGAGGGTGCTGTGGGCTCACTGTGAGGATGGCAATCCCATGTGGGATTAGGGGGCACAAGGACACAGGGGCACAGGCTCAAGGTGCTCAGGGAAGGCCAGGCAGGGCCCGGCCTTGGGGCCCTGAGGGCTGAGGAGAGGGGCCGGATGAGGACTCACCTGCGGTTGAGGCAGCAGTAGATGATGGGATTGTACATGGTGGAGCTCATGGCCAGCCAGAAGAGCGCCAGGTAGACCTGCTGAATGAACTTGTGGCAGTAGATGTCCTCCTGGAAGTTGCCCAGGATGAAGTAGAGGTGGTAGGGCAGCCAGCAGATGGCAAACGTCACCACCACCACCACCATGGTCTTCACAAACTGCGGGGAAAGGCTTAGGTCACCCCTCACCTGGAAGCCCCGAACCCCCGTCCTCCCTGGGGCAGGGCGGGGTGCCCTCTTGCCAGTCTGGGAAGCCCTCAACAAGCAGGTCCTGTCTACCTCTATGGCCTCAGTCCCCTGGGGCATCCGCTGCTCAGACATTCCTGGGCCCTCCGTGTAGGGGCTTCTGCTCAGCCTCTCCCTCTGCCCACCCTGCTGTCTTTCCTTTGAAGTCCTCACTCCCAGAATCCCAACTCAGTGGCCACTTTCTTTAACAGGCGCCCTGGATCCCTTGTGGATGAGACTCACTCCTAACCCCATCCTTTGGGGAGTCCCTATGCCAGCTATGGGTCTCCAGTTCTGCTGCCCTCCCTGGGGACTGTATCTGCCACAGCCCTTCTATCCATAGGTATGAGGCTCCAACCTGGGACCCCAGCCTGTGCCCAGGGCCCGGCTGACCGCCCCCCCCCCCACATGGCTGGTTTCAGCAGGTGCCCTTGAGCATGGCCCAGTACCCCATGAGGGATGGAAGACAGGCCTGGGCTGGCAAATGGAGACCAGCTCTCCATGCAGAGGAACACCCACATGGTGTCCTATACCCAACCATCTCCCCGAATTGCCCTGAAAATGTCTAAATAGTAGATGATAAGTTGAGACTTCGACCTGATGCACGATGTGATTAACCTATCACCTCCCTGCTTGCCTCACAGGAAGCGGGCAAGGCAAGGAGGAGCTCTGAGCCTGCACCAGGATCTTTGGGGGCCTGCGTGGGAGGGAGGAGGGGGAACACTGGCCCTTCCTTTGGATACTGAAGGCGGATGATGTTGTCGGGAGGCAGCCCAACCTCCATGATCTCTGAGGGCTGCAGTTCCAGGATCAGAGAATTCTCCTGGGATCCTAGCAAGGAGCCTCCTGTAGTTCTGCGGGACTTCTTAAATTCAACTTCTGATTACTCAACGGTGTAAGATTTTACTGTCATTCTAAGGTGCTTGGAGGTCTCTGAAATTCTGTGGGGCTTTAGGATTTCCCGATTTTCCTAACATTCTGGGAAGTTCCTTTAACGTTGTGTTTAGCTAAAGACCAAGGGCACGTCGGCCTGTCCTGGAAGAACGAATTCAGGCTCCGGCCAGGACTTGTGGCTCCTGTGCTCTGTGGCGCCCCCCTGAGGGCGGGCCCGGAGCCCAGAAGAGCGGCTTCGGGCCCCGCCCCTCCCCATCCAGCCCCGCAACCAGCCCACCTTCTTCTTGGCCTGCAGGTACTGGGAGTTGGCTCCGTGAGCATGGTACCCGGGCACCCCGCGTCTCCACAGCGTGAAGCCGATGACGCTGTAGGCGAAGAACATCACCGCGAGGGGCAGGAAGTAGATGAGGGCGATCACGGCGAGGTGGTACCTGGAGGGAGAGCCAAGGGAGGGCCTGGGCACCGGTGGTACGGGGGCGACTTCGGCCTCCGCCAGCGCTCAGTCCCCAGGACCCCGCGGGCGCCCCTGAGCTGCCCTCGGGTCGCCCCTGGCACCCCCACCTCAGGCCTTAGTTTGAGTTAAGGAAGATAAATAAATAAATGAAGGCAACATCAGCCAGCACCTGCCCACAGAGGCTCTCCGGCTGCAGGAGGGAACCAGTGCTAGCCCTGCGTCCGCCCATGATAGACAAGCACCAAAAAGGGAGTAAGTAGGAAGGAAGAAGTTAACCAAGTCATACATTTGTTTAAAACTTAAAATGTCATTAAGCACAAAGGAGGAAGTAAAATTACTTCTCCGCCCCCATTGCTACTCACAATTCGGAATCTCTCCTTCCAGAATCACAGGTGTGTACAAGTGTTGCCTGAATCGTGGGTGTGCACCAGACCCAGGAGCAGGTGCTCGTACCCTCCTTCCCACTGGCCCTTCTCAGGGAGGGGAGGCCGGTGATAACGTGGGGAACACCGCCTCCCAGTGGTCAGTCCCGGAATAGTCTGCTCTCCATCCCTCCCTGAGCCAGAAAATGCGAACCCGTCACTACGGGACCGGCTTTGCAGCCGGGAGTCCTTCTGAGAAGGTGGGGTGCAGGGTAGGGATGAGACCCCCGGCAGGGCCTGCCCTCGAAACTCAACAGTCCCCAGGAACAGGCTTCTCAGAGGAATGGCGCCTTCACCAATACTGAGGCCACAGCGCCGCCCTCTTCTGGCGGGTGCCGGGGGCAGATGGGGACCAGGAAGGGGTGGTGTTGGAGGGCGGGTGTTAGAGGAGGCAGGAACGGGGCTGTGTTGCATGGTGACCTGGCAGCCCTCAGCTCAGATCCTCATGCTTCGGGCAGCTGGGTCCTTGTTGGACTAGACCTGCGACCTCCAGGTTTGTGGTCGTTTGTCCCCTATTTATGCCGCCACGTACTGAGGCGCCACTTCCGTGACAGGCATGGTGCTGGGGCTTCTGGGCATTTTCTCCTATGTGCTCACAGCAGCCCTTGGACAAGGTCCTTCCACTAATAACCCCCATTTGAGAGAGAGGTTAAGAGTCTACAAAGGGTCTTCCAGCAGCAGGGACAGAGTAGGACTCCAAGCCCCCAACCAGTTCTTCATCCTCTACAACCGACCATGCCACGCTTGGGCGTCAGGAAGCCACGCCATGAGGACTAGGCATGTGGAGGCCCAGAAGGGGAAGGGCTTACCCGGGACACACAGCAGCTGGACCACGCTGAGGTTCGTTTACCCTCCCCCCCCAGAGCCCTTGGCGCCCACCTCAGCACAGGCAGGCCCCAGGCATCCCCCCAAAACATCCAGGCTGCATCCCCTGCCCTTCCTTCCTGCTCAATACCCTGATCCATGTGGCCAGAGCTTTTACAGTGCCCGCCCCCAAACACAGACCTACACACACATTCCTGACTGTACCTGTGTGCACACACATGCCCACAAGCACACCCACATACTTATACACAAATGTTCACAGACATGAGTGGGGCAGCGCACCTGCACACGCAGTGTCACAAGCACATGTGCACGCATCCATATTCTCGTTTAAGGGCGCACATCCTGATCGAAGGGAT